ATTGAAATGAAAACTAAAGAAATTAAAACAAACAAAAATTTATGGTGGACATTTCAATCCTGGTCACAAATGTTTAAGAAGCTTCTTCTAGGTACATTACCAGTGTTCCTTTTATTAGTGCTGCAAGCTGCTCTTTTATTATTTTGGTTATTTTTTAGTAGATACTCCCGAATTTTGATGTTTGATTGTTAACCTCTTGTAGTTTCTACTTATTTATATTTCAGTACAGCATTTCACATTTTCTTAATATTTGCTTGCATTAGAGTATAGCTGTTATAGATGCTCCTATAAATTTTTTATTTTCTGGAAATTAGTGACTCTTTAAAAGAAGTGAATAATATAGTCTATTTCCAATTATAAACTGATGTTTATCATTACTTCAAGCTTTTAATTTCTCTTCTCCAAATTTCTTATAATGATTTTATATGTTGTAGAATTTCGTATCCCAAGTAGTCATAAGAATTATGAACAGCATTCTTGGTTTAGTTAAAAAAAAACCCTGGTGTCAAGAAAGCAGTGCTTTGTATCGTGAGCAGTCCTTTTATCTGTGTAGTGTATGAGCTAAATAAGTACATTATTTAATCTTCAAAGCAAATGATACATAAGATATATAATATGTTAATTCTTTTTCCATGTCTTAAAGATACAATAAAAGAGAAGAAGACTTTCCTAGTCTAAGAGAATATAATGACTTCCTGGAAGAAGTAGAAGAAATTGGTATGTTATTAATGCTTGTAATTTTATCATGCCAGAATATGAGATTGTGTGCTTTTATATATTAATGCTAAGAGAACACCTCATATTAAAATCTCTAACAGGATTTGTTGTAATAATTGATATTTGTGTAATTACTTTCATTTGTACTTGAAACATCTTTGTCAAACTGAAGGCACACTTAAGTACAGGATATACTTAAGTTACAAACTTTATGTCATAGGAAAAATGTGAATAGATACTACACTACTTCATAGTTGGGAAGAAAAGCCAGTGTTATTTATATATTGATAATGTTACTTAAAATTGTTTAAAAGAAAGTATATTTATATTTTTTTCTTTAGCTTTATCCCCAGTGACTTTAATACTTATATATTTAGTAATTTGTATATAACTTTGAAACATTTAACTGTTGAAATGACAATTTTTTTGTTTCTCAGGAATCAGAGGTTAGCATAATTTTCTTTCTGACACAATTAGTCAAAAGAATACTCTAAAAATGTATTTTTTTCTTTTGATTTGAGAAGCATTAAATAGTCTGGAAGTGATTATATGACAATTAAAAATGGCATTTTCTAAAGGTATTACTATTATTATCATCACTCACTACAGATTTGGAACTGGCTCAGAAGTTACAGACTGAAATAGAATGAGGCTATGGGATTCAGACAATAATCTTTTTTTTTAATGTTCTAAAACTCGAAAGCTAAACTATATTCATCATTTTCATATTTGAAACAATGACAAGAAACTCTTTTGTATGAAACTGGATGACCTTTGAGTTGTGGTGCTGGAGAAGAGTCTTGAACATACCATGAACCACTAAGAAAGGAAATATCTGTCTTGGAGAGGGTAAAATCAAGTTTCTCCTAGCAGGCTAGAATTTTGAAGCTTCATCTTACATACTTTGGCACATGGGCAGGAGAGACCAGTCCTTGGAGAAGGACATCTTGCTTGGAGTGGTGGAGGGACAGCACAGGAGAGGAAGACCCCACATGAGACGGATTGTACAGTAAGTAGGGCTGTGGGGGTAGAACTGTCAGAGTCAGTGAGACTGACTTAGAATAGGGCAAGCTTCAGAGCTATTGTACATAGGGTTGCTGTGAGTCGCAGGCGACTCTATGGCACCTAACAACAACAACAACTGTAATAATGGACAAGAATGATAGACATTTGCATAAATTCATAAGAGTATGTGAATGAATAATTTTTTCAGAAGGATTAGCATAAATCTGGTTCCTGTTGGGTAGAGGTTAAAGATTATCCAGTGTCCAACTTCTTAATACTGCTGGACCATATCTGCATTATGCAGATGACACAACCCTCCTCGCTGAAACTGAAGAGGACCTCATGCACTTACTGCAGAGGGTCAAGGACTGCAGCCTTCAATATGGACTGAGGCTCAATGTCCAGAAGACAAAA